AACGAAGATCAGGAAAAAGAGCAGGATGAAGAAGTGGACAATAGGAAAAAAAGGAAAAAGAGAAGTGTAAGTCTTGTTTCAGAAGAATACGATAGTAGTAATAGTAGTAAATCGGTGGGATGATTCAATTATATAATAATAATTTAGCAATAAATTTATTTCTGTAAAACCGATTTTTATAATTTTAATAATTAATATATAATCGTATTTAGTAAACTAACCAAAATATAATTAATAAAACTGTAAATTTAAAATAAAAATGTATGGCAATCGGAAGATTTTTTATTGGTTGAAAGTTAACAATCGGTATACTGATATGTCAAATAGTAAATGGCCTATTGTAACCCGATTGTACTCTATTTAAATATCCCGATTGGAACCCTAATGTACTCTTATTGCACCATTTTTTGGTAGCAATCAGGATTCTCCCGATTGATAATAAACAAAAAAAATAGGGGACCAATAAGATGGAAATCAGGTGATCCGATTTCCATCTTATTGGTCCCCTATTTGTCATCATTTGACCGGTGGTAGAGAATATTGTTGTGCAGAATTTTGTTCAACAAGACATCTTATATTTTCTGGTGTTCTTAAGATAATTTGATCGTTTGTTAACTCCACATTGTTCAGCTTCTTACGCTCTACTAAACATTTATGACAAGGGTGGTGACAATTAACAGAGTTAAATGTTAAAGTTACCGCAGCATTTTCTGGTAAATCTCCTAACATTACGGAAATAAACGGAAAACATCACTTTATACCATTATCTATTTGAAGATCAAATCCACGATTATAGTCAAGTAATGATCATATCAATATATTTAAAGCATATTGATAAAGGACTCGCTTGGCTAACTGAAAACTCTTTGACCTCTTTTGTGAAATATCTTTTGCCTTTAGGATCGGCAGATAACCCAAAAGTATTTTGGCATCAGGCCTATTTCTGCGCCAACTAACTATATTACCAAGTGTCAAATAAATGGGATGTTAGCTGGTCTTTCCTAAGTGATCACGTGTCGTAGTATCCAAATATAAAATTACTGACAATACATTTGCACCATTAGGAAGTGATTTTTGGACTCTTTTCCACCATTGTCCATTATATTGTTCATTATGATATATTCTTTCTCCGTTATGATTTAATAGTGTAAATTTAAAAGTACAATGGGCAAATATATCCTTATTGCTCAACAATTCCTTTATAACGTCAAAAATCGGACGATAATGAAGATAATACGTTTCTTGTTTATATGTCATGATAAGAGCTTTTTTAAAAGAAATATGTGGTACAACAATTTGATCCAACAATTGATGACCTTTTTTTACCGACGTAGGTAAAATTACATTATCGCGGCAAATCTTTTTTGAAAATTTAAGTATATCGTTACCACATGCATCAGACAAATTCCATTTAGTAAGCAACTCCATAAAATTTCCAAACTCTTCGCTTGAAAATTCTGGTATATTTGTTACTCTAATATCAAGAGATTCGAAGGTTGGGATTAGTTCAACATCAATTAGCGAATATTCGATTTCAATGTCTCTTGATTTGTCAATCACTTCCTATATATGGATGTTAATACTTAATAGACAATAAATACTTGATAAATATGTCGATCGCTTTCTATATATAGACATATATAGACGCATACAAAAGTATAAATTATTTTAATTTCATTTAACGTTGATTTCTCACCTCCTCTTCCTCTTCCTCCTCTTCCTCTTCCTCTTCATAGCTCATCTCTTCTAGTTGTTCATCATTATCGCTCCCTTCCTCTTCTTCTTCCCCTTCATCTTCCCCTTCCCCTTCGTAGTTCACATCCTCTAATACTTCATCATTATCTTCCCTTTCTTCTTCGTAGTTCACATCCTCTAGTACTTCATCATTATCTTCACTTTCTTTTTCGTAGCTCACCTCCTCTTGTACTTCATCATTATTAGTACTCCCCTCTCTTCCTCTCCCTCTTCGTAGCTCGCCTTCTCAAGTTGTTCGTCGTCACCCACTTTCTCTTGTTCATATTCTACTTCTTCAGCAATTTTTCTAAGAACTTTATCAATTATATCATCGTGAGTTTTCACATGATTTCGTAGAGAAGCACGACGACTGAAGACTCTTTCACAATGTGGATACGAGTATATAACCATTTTTTGAAGTTGATTTATGGTGAATAAGTTTTTTATTTGACGCTAGCAAAGTAGGTTAATTTATATAAAAACATTAAGGTTTTTTACATGTTGATTTATTATATTAACTTGTTTAACAATAAATTGACTATGTGCCTCAATAATATTAACAATACTTAACAATACAGTATTGCTTGACGTATTGCACAGTTTACACAATGTTAACAGTTAGTGTTACTGATTACGATCAATCAAGAAATACATAAATTAAATTAATCAATCATCGTGTCATTTAAATATTTAGGTGAGGATATCAAATGATACCATCAGTTAACTGCGTAATGATACTGATGAAAATATTCACATTTAAGGTGTCAACAAACACAACAAACATCATAGAAATTAACGCATAATTATTATTATTAGTACTTTTACGACGAATAAAATAAAGGATTAATTAATACGGCACAGTAAACTGGAACGTCCAAAAGCAAAACCGAGCGTTGGATGAAGGTAATTATATTTTGTTGGAAATTTCACTTGTTAAAATTTACATCCTCGATATTTACAATTTCCCGTTAAAATTTTCTCTCTTCTTCAGATTTAATCTCTTCCTTCTCTTTATTGCTCACCTCTACTAATTGTTCTGTTCATCGTTAAACGCTTTCATTTCTAGCTGTCCATAGTTACTCATCACGTCTACTTCATCAGCAGAAATTCAATTTGAAACATCACATGATTTCGTAAGGAAGAACAACGATTAATACTTTTTGCAATGTGATGAACAATGACTAATACTTTTTTGCAATGTGGGCATTGAAATTCGAAGTGAAGAAATGAATCAGATTTGTCGTTGTAACATGTGACATGATTAATACTTTTTTGCGATGTGGGCGTTGAAATTCGAATGAATCATTGTAACACGTGACATTGCGCCGCAATTTAGTCTTAAAGTAACATCTAGTTAAGTAATTACATTAATTATGTTTGTTACAAGTTACACTGGACACTAAGTAAGTATACTAATCATTAGTATACTTAAGTATACTTACGTATAAGTAAATCAAGTAGATCATCACACATAAGAGTTAAAAAATGATTACTTTTTTTTCTCACATTCTAATATTTTTTTTTTCTCATTCTCACATTCTAATAATCAATTAATTCTCTCTTGTCAGTCATCTTTTTATCAATGGATAACGACGAAAACAAAAATAATAATAATAAAACCAGCGGCAAACGCTCTTTAGATTTTAATAATTTAAAACGCCCAAAACCTACTACTAGATCTAGTACTAGGTATACTAGATCTACTAGATCGTCAACGAGTATGAATATAGAAGTAATTATTTTAACTTTAAATTATTATATATATTTGGTTGTAAATTATTATGATTGTATAAATATACTTATATAATTAATATCTTTTAGATCAACGAACAAAATAATTTGAAAGGATTTATTTTAGTTTTTTTTTGAACTTGTGTGAACGAATATCTAAAAATACATTATAATTAACAGATACCGAAGCCAATCATCAAACAATTTCAGACGCTTCACAAATAGAGACTCCAAAAAAGACGAAAATTGCAAGGTTAGATTTGTTTTGTGATAGAGATATTGATGAGATTATTATCGGTACCAATAAAACTACCAAAGGATCTTCTCAAGTAATATCAGTTATCAATTTTTTTATTGTTTATATTATTCATTATTAGTTTATTAAATACATTTTATTGTTTTCATCAGGCAATAAATGAATCATCAACAATATCCTCTTATATCCCTTCGGTGGTAATTTCTCCTCCTTCCTTCTCTCCTCCTTCCTCTATTAAAACAACGATATCTGATAAAGCAGTATCTGGTGGTAAAGCAGCGTCTGATAAAGCAGCATCTGGTGGTAAAGCAGCGTCTGGTAAAGCAGCATCTGGTGGTAAAGCAGCGTCTGGTAAAGCAGCATCTGGTGGTAAAGCAGCATCCGGTTCTAGTAAATCATCATCATCCAGCGTTAAGGCAGTGATTAGTAAAGAATCGCCATCAGATAATAATGCGACAACATCATCATCTAAAGTAACGGATCAAGGTTAGATATGATATATACTGTTTGTTCATTGTTGTTTTGTTAATAAATTATCAAATTGGTTCTTATTATTCTTATTAACGATAATTTATAGCAGTTAGTTCTGGTAAATTTGCCAAATTAATACAAATTAATCAAAAAACAGCATCAAAACTCAACACGATTATTAATAATAAAAAAAGATTTAAAGCTATGTTAAAAGAAAAAAAAAACCAGATTTCAAATATAATGTCAGTATTAGATTCTAATCGCAACGTTGAAACTGAAGTCAAGGTTAAAAAAAAGGGTAAAACGAAAAAGAAAGACAAAAACTCAGATGAATTTTATAACGTAAATATATAATTTAAAGTTATGTATTTCTTTATATTATTTACTAAATATAACAATTTGTATGTATTAAGGATGCGATTAAAGATCTTTATTATGAATTATTTAATGAACATAGACGAGTAACCGACTGACAAATGAAAAATCGCCTTAAAGAAAAATTAGAAAATGATGAAACATCAAACAAAATACTCATAAAGTTGTCCAGAAAAGGAGTTTCGTTCGATTATTTGTGGGATGATAGAATGCATTCACAAGTAAGTAGTATTTGTATTATATATTAGTCATTAATTGCCAAATTTATAACAACTTGTTTATTTTATTAAATATAGTTACTTGCTGCAAATCGCGTTAAAAAAGGTTACTACATTAGAAAATTGAAAGAAAGTTTGTAAAGTACTTTCAGTATTAATAGAATAACGCCATTCAAAGATAATTTCAGCAAACAACAGATGCGAACATGGAAAGCAAGTAAAAACGTTCAACAGGTCCATGAAGATTTATACAAACCGAGCGACTCAAATGATCCGTCATCTGATACTTATATTTCGTTAATAATTAAATCGGTTTTTGCATCTGATAAAGAGCGTACAAATGAAAACGCCATTTGGATTCAGTTGGTATTAGAAGTTATATTTGACAAGAAACACCTTTCGTCAAAAATCGATGCAAACATTGTCGATTCATGGACCGGAAATATAACAGATACAGACGTGGTAAGTACTCAACTGAATTGTATGTAATATTTTAAATTAAATTACTAGTAATATTATATTTCTTTATTTAGGATTCTGAAGAATGTGAATGTGAGTCTTCGCCCAAAACACCTATAACACCTATTGACGATGATGATGAAATCATTGGAGTTAATAATCGTGTTGATGATGTTTATGATGAGCATACGACGGACGATAATCAAGCAGCTGATTTAGAAGTTGCTGATTTAGAAGAAGAGCAATAAAAGTTCACGTGACTTTTAGTATAATTTGATATTATTCGTTGTTATCATTTTTTGTCTTCTAATCTATATGTATTATTCTAGTATGCATTATATTATGTATCAATTGCAATTTAGCAATATCATTCAGTTCATAATATTAATATAATTATCGCGTTTCAGTTTGTAGAAAGATCAATCAAGTGATTTAGTTGTACAAATCACATTCCCACCTTGTTATGGTTGTGTCACCAGAGGCGCTATGTCAACGGAAATTTAGTACATTGATCGCTTAAAAATCCGCGGCAATCCAATTATAACAAGAGGAATTTACATTAGATAATGTATTTAAATTGATATGTATTTTATCATAAATAAATTTATATATTTTATATAATATATATATTAATAATATACAATAAAATCATTGCTTTACGCATTTTTAATATCAATATACGCGTTTTTATACATTGTATACACATTTTTAAACTATCGTTGTTTTACTGTATGTTGTTTTACATTTAAATTGGTGTTGTTTTACGCGTTTTTCAACGTTTTTAGGTGGCGTTGATTGATAAAAGGTTCGTTTCCCTACGTTTTTTGGCGTTGAGCAATACATGGCGTTTTTCAACATTTTATACGCCTGTTTAAAACTTGCTGATGATCCTTAAGGATCCATAGCATAAAAAATTTACTGATGTAGGTAAATTTTATATTGGTGATGATAGGACATGAAAGCAATCTATAGGATAGAAAACCGGTTTGGAGTTTTAATAAATTAGTTATGTTTATAGTAGAAATATCTGTAATTCTATATAACTAATAAATTTATGAATTGCACTACCTTGCAAAAAAAAAAAAAAAAAATTTAATATTAATTTTCTATAAACTTAAAAAAATTCATTAAAGTGAATTTCTCTGTAAATTTATATTGTAATGAAATTCACTAATATATATTAAGGATGCTTGCTAAAACTATTTTTTCAAAATTTTAGTTTAATCAAAATTCAATCTGAAACTATTTTTTATAATAAAATTAATTGCCTAAACTGTTTTTATACTTTTCTGAAACTAATTATAATTTAGAAAAATTTCAGATTTACCAATTTTTTCATTAAAATAAAGTTTTAAATTTCAGATTTTTGAATTTTATTGTTAAATAAGTTTCAGACAATAACACTAGTATATATTACATTAATTTTTATATATATTATATAATTTTTTTATAATATAAAAAATTTAATATTTTAACCTAATATACAAAAAATACTATTTCACTTCTTTTGTTTTTTTTTGTATTTTTTAAATAATAAAATTCTTATTTTAATAATAAATGGATAATATAAAACTATTAGCTTTTTATTTAAATAATAAATATATGTCACAATAAACTTTTTTTGCCATATTTTAAACTTTTTTATAATAAAAACCTTTTGCTATATTTTTAATTTTTTAACATAAATTTTTTATCTGAATTATCTGAATTATTTTTTAGACTTTTAGACTTACTGTTTAAATTATTTTCTAAATCTCCCTTAAATTTTTTTTTAAATTACTTTTCAAGTTACTTTTAAACTACTTTTCAAATTATTTTCTAAACTATTTTTATTACCTTCTAAGCTATGAGTTACCTTTTGAATTATCTTTTGAATCATCTATTAAATTAAATTTGATGAAGATATTAATACTTTAGAGTAATTTAATAATTATCAATACAATCTTATTGTAAAAAATAGTTTTAATTAGTTTTCAGTTGATGTATTTATATATTAGTATTGCTTAAAATATAACTTTGAATAGCAAATTTTCTAAAATAATAAAGATCTAAATTAGTAAAAAATGAAATGCTTTTATTATATTCAGCAAAATATAATTAAATACTTTAAATAAATTAGGCTAAAATTTTTAATTATGATTTATTAAAGCATTTATTTATGTAGAAATATTCTAAATATTAAATTATTTAAATAATGCTGGCAATATATAGTAATAATATTTTCAGAAAGTAAAAGTTATATGACTAGAATATTATATTTAAATTAAGATAATTAAAATTAAAGCATTTTTATCATTTCAATTTAATGATAGCATTCAAAGTATTTAAAGTATAGAATCTTTTAATAGTATAATTAACAAATCATTAAATTCTGTAAGTACACTTTGTGATGTAGAAAAAGCTATTAATAAAAAATATAAAGAAAAAGCAAAGTATTATAAATTATTAAATATTAAATTAAAATATTTAACAATTGAAACCCTTATTTTTCTTCTCAATTTTATCAAATATTAATATAGTTCTTGTAAAATTTTTAATACTAATTATATTATCTTTAGGAGCATGCCAGAAATCAGCTAATTTCTCTCAATTAGTAGCCTTAACCCCCACCCCTACCTGATTGAAATCTGATTGGCTAAAAAAATTATTACTATTAAATATTAAATATTATATATAATAATTAGTATTATATAATTATCTTGGCTTCTAGTGATTCAATTTAAACAAACTTTTTTTGTTTTTTTGTTTTATAAAACTAGATTTATAGAACTAAATGAGTGCTATAAATTAAAAAAAAGTTTATTAAAATTGGATCACTAGAAGTCAAGATAATTGCATTATAATAATAATTATTATAATATAAATACAAATATCTTGGCTTCTAGTAATTCAATTTGAACAAACTTTTTTTTGTTTTGTAATACTATATTTGTAGAGCTAAATAAGAGCTATAAATTAAAAAAAAAGTTTATTAAAATTGGATCACTAGAAGTCAAGATAACTGCATTATAATAAGGGCACTGTCAGATACCTAATATCACTTTAATATAAGAGTTTACCCTCCTCCCCTAGGTAAGATATGTTATATATAATTTCTTATATAGTATTGTATATAACCTAAGATCTTTATTTACCCTCCCTCCCCCTAAAATATTAGGTAATATCTGACAGTACCCTAATTATATAAAAATAATTAAATTACTTACATTTATATTTAGATATATAAATGTCACGTGATATATATAGATCTGATCTAAAGCTTGACTCCTCCCATTTCCTTTCAAATCAGCTGATTTCTGGTACGCTCCTTATAAAGATTTTAAATATCACAATATTTTATTTATAAATAACAGTTAATACCCATTACATTTATTTCAGATATAATATTTATTATTTTTTATAATATATTAAAAGTTGTATAAAATAATTGAAAACTTACAATTTATTTATTTTCATTATATAATAACTTTATAAAAGATGTAATGAATAAATTACAAATAACTTTAACAGCTTTATTAGATGATATATATACAGCTTTATGCCAATTGTACATATATAGATCTAATGGTCAACATTAGATAATAAGTAGTTTATTGGCCTAATGGCTTTAGATAGTTTAGTTGTATTTGTATATACTTGTAACTTTCTTTACTTTAGTTAATAAATGCATAGTGGAATTCAAAAAAAAAAACTATTTTTTAAAATAAAAATATATAATATTTTTTTTTATAATAAATTAGCCAATTAAATTCTTTAATTTTATATTAACTATAATTTTAAGATATTGCTAAATTTTAATTTTCATTTTCCACTATATTAGTATTAATTAAATAAAAATTTATAATATTTTTTAAGTTATTCTAATACTAATAAAATAATAATTATTAGCAGTGATATTTAATGATACTCACTAGTAAATTTAAAATAAAAATTAAAGAATTCTATTTTATCTAATTTTAATTTTAATTTTATTTGGCACCAAATTTAATAGAGAACAGAATAGAAGCACTATTCCGTCAATATTCAAGAAAAATTTGGGAAAGAGTTGATGAAGTTACAAAATTTGGGGTGTGCTTTCTCTCTCACTTCTTATATATACATCCTTTTATGAATAGAAATGGAAGAGTAGCTAGGTTACTAGGACCCAAAAATATATATATAGCGGTAGGGTACACAGATGCGTCATTATCATAGTGAGTAAAGTTTTGATTTGCATACAATTTTAGAATTTTTCATCTATAGTTAGGTCATCAAGATTGCGTATTTTTTATCAAAATTTTTATATGTAAAAAATTAGTTTGCGTATTTTTGGCCTAAATTTGGCTAATCTTATATATATAATATATTTACTGTACGTACTTATTTAATTAACCGCATTGTAATATTTAGTATTAATTGAAAGAAATTTCTAAGGGTTAAAAAGTGAAATTTTAGAAAAATATTATTAAAAAAATGGTAAATTCTATTTTTTCACATTAGTATTTGGTTTTATAAATAATATAGAAGCCATGATAAAATAATTAATAACTTAATGTCTGAAATTTTATTTGCATATTTTTGCAGGATTTTCAATATCAGGTGTCAATTATGCGTACTACTCATATAAAAAGTCTCTGCGTACAGCTCATAGTAAAAAAATTTTTCACCACCTGACCCCTATATATATATTTCTTGGTCCTGGTTACTCTTGAGTTATTTGAAAATTTACTGTGTTGTCAATTTCTTTGTACAAGAACACGGGATTTATATTTACAGTGTCTGCGAGCATCAAGGTATCATGAGCCATTCATGCTCAACGCACTCGCTACTTTATACTTGAGAAAAATGTATATTTATATTTTAGCACACATCTGCAAAAGAAATATTTCGTAACTTAAAAAAAATATCATTTCATTTATGCTGTTTTTAAGAATTCTTATTTAGTTAGGATTAAGAGTTTAGATTTATATTAGAGTATCAGAACTAACTTGGCTTAGAAATTATCATATACTGTATGTTGTTGTTTTTTAAGAATTCGCAGAAATCAAAAGTCTTCATACCTGATACTTTTTGAGATGATATTTACTCGAATAAAATCTAATGAGTAGCCACAATATTTATATACACGGTTAACTCGAAAAATTTATTGCACAGAATAAATCGCTCGGATCACGTTGCAACAATAATGCATACAGTATATACATTGACCACTTATATCCGAGTCCTATTTCTACCAAGAAATTCTAAGATTAAATTTCGCGAATTTGTTATATTTATGGGATCAACATTTTTTTAATTGGGACTGAACTGCATATATAAATATAGAGGTATATAAAAGGGAATCAAATTTAATACTATACAGTATACAGTTTAGTAACAATGTTTAACGTGCATATTAGTCATGTGATTTTGCTTATTAATTGATGCCGTTCATCATCATCATCATATTAACCATTTATACTTCGTGGGACTTACGGCGTAGAAGAGGCGAACTAGGAACAAATAAAATTTTTGCGAAAGTATGTCGGATGAAGACAAATGGTTTTTTTTGTGTAATTTAAAAAATATCTATTATGCATCACAATCTATACGTAAAGTAATACAATATCTTTAAAAAACCTAAATGATAGTCATTGCGTGAAATAAATAACCGCCTGGATTTAGGTATTCAGAACACTTATTCTTCTTCTTTCCTTTTTTTTCTATCGTATAATTTAAAAAAATATAATTTTTTAAAAAAAATGGCAGACAAACAAGAAAATAATGACCAAGTAGAAATTACAATATCGGAAGTAAGGAATTGATATTTTTTTTTTCTAATACCTTTATGTCAAAATATTAATTTTTTATACATTATTTCAAGGAAAAAAAACCTAAAGATGAACATACACATAAAATATTTAATTTTCTTGGACATTCGAATCGTTCATCAACATCACTTGAAGGCGATGACGATGATGAATTAGTAAAATTGGAAATTATTCCTGAGATAGTTGAAGATCATCGTACTTTACTTTTAATCAATAAAGAAGATCAAAATTTATATCACGAAATCAAAGAATGGCACGAAGAAGATCGTAATCGTAGTCTTGAAGATACAATTTTGAAGTTTGGTAAGATAAAGTTTTTTCGGAAGATTTCGGAAAACCCATGGCGCAGCAAATGTATACGTTATTACTAACATCCATAAATAATTATTTTTTAGATCCTGATAAATATCGTAATTCTGATGCGCTTGCAAAAGTGGTATATAATTATCCGTTACCAGATTTTATTATAAGATATAAGGATGACAAAAAAGATGAGCATCGAAATGAAAAACAAATAACGCGTGATAACTTTGAGATTTTATTACTTCAAGCTGGATTAATTCTCGAACGTGAAGTTGATCCAGATGGAATTTATACTTATGTTAAAATCATTGCTCCATTTAATACATTGTGTGAAATGGCTCAACGAATAAGGCTTAAAGTTCGGTTAAATGTAAGTTTAAAATTTTTTTTTTTTTCAAAAAAAAAGTATTAATGATTTATTCCTTTATTTAGAAAGAAAGTTTACCTAGTGATTTGTCGATTCTTGATGAATATGTTAGATCATCTGATACTATACTTACCAAGATTATTGAACATTTTGTATATGATATAGAGCTCAAAAAAGATTCATCGATTTTTAAAAGAGAGCATTTAAGAAGTTATGAGGGAGCAGAATCTAAAAAAAGCAAAGCAGACATTGCATTAAACTTCTTTAATACTTCAAGGAGGAATTTAATGGTTCATAGAGTGATTATTACGGCCAATCTTATTAACAAAAAAGAAACCTCACCAGATGGAAAAACGGTATATGTTAATAGAAAAATAGAAAGTTTGGAAATTAAAAAACTTATTAAAAAAGGCATTTATGATGAACTTTATCCAATTCATGATGGTCCTTCAAAATATAAAGATGATTCAAAAGAAAATAATAATCCAAGAGCTACATTAGAAGAAAAATGGGTTAAAAGAGGCTTTAAGAGGCAACCGATAGATAAAATAAGAGCTTATTTCGGTGAAAAATTGGCTTTATATTTTGCTTGGTTAGGTAATAAATAATTAATTAATATAATTAATATATACTTTTAAAAAAAGTAATCATGCTCAACTATGAAATCATATCAATATTATTATAGGTTTTTACACGTCATGGTTATCTATAGCAAGTATTGCAGGTGTAATTGTAGTAATTCATGGATTAATTTACATGTCAAGGTAAATATTTATAATAATTTCATTCGCCCTAAGATATTTAATTGAAATTATAAATAGATCTTTTTTGTTTTTAGATCAAATTTCGAAAATAATAACGATAAAATTGCAGCAATTTGGGACAATGCACTCACGGCACCTTATGCACTCTTTATGGCAATTTGGGCCACACTTTTTTTAGAAACATGGAAAAGGGTAAATGCATCAATACAATATGATTGGGATGTTATTGATTATGAAAAAGATGAACTTCCAAGACCCGAATTTTACGGAACTAGTAAATTAATATTATTATATTCAAGAATTTATAATCGAATAATAAAATTAATTTTTATTTATTCGTTTTTTAGCACTTCGGGTATCTTTAATTACTTTGAAAAAAGAAATTGTATTTCCCTTTAGAGAAAAGTTAGTAAAAATTTTTATATCAGTAGCGATAGTTTTAGTTTCGGTAAGTAAAAATTCATATGCTGATTCATTGTATAAAAAGTATATTTATGCACAAATATTTTCCTATTTAGATTGGAATCGTACTTGTAACTGTGGGAGCTTTATTATTATTTCCGGAGAATTTGCAAGTGGTTAAAAATGTTAAATATGTAGGACCAGTTATTACCGCTATTATAAATTTAGCCACTATTATTATATTAAATCTGGTAAATTTTCTTTTAATTTTTTATTATTATTACTATTATTATTATTATAATGAATTGGATTGTAAGTTCATTATTTGATTAGATATATAAAAATGTAGCAAGATTTCTTACGGATTTCGAGAATCATAAAACTGAAACTCAGTTCGAAGGTACTGTATATGTTTAAAAGGTTGAATTTTATATAAATAGGGATCTTTTTTTAACAAATTCTTTTTGTCGTAGATTCATTAATTCTTAAAGCATATCTCTTTGACTTTATCAATTTTTATTCTGCATTGATTTATCTTATGTTTTCTGGAGTAAGTTACTTCACAATTAGATTATTAAATTCCCTATTTAGTTTTTATAATTTTTTTCTTCTTCCATTAAATAGGGCAGATCATGTGAAAATAATTGTAATGTAAGTTGCTTATAATAAAGATTCTTAAATCGTTAATCTCACCCCTTAGAATCTATTTATAATAATTTTCTCTATTTATTAGGACGATGCATGTCGCGAGAGGTGTATTCAACAAGTGAGTATATTGTTTATTTATTAGCTATTAAATTTCTATCTCCTAAAAAATATTTATTCCTAATTAGGGCAGAGGGTTGACTTTACTTACGATTCAACTTGCAATTATTTTTATTGGTAAACAACTTATTGGGCAAATTCAAGAAATTTTAATTCCGTATGTAGTATACTTCATTAAAATTTCTTGAGAAGAGTAAAAATTTCTTCTTTTCTAACATGAAAAAATTTCATTTAAAGATGGTTAATGAGTAAATGGAATAAAGCTAAATCCGCATTGGATCGAGAATCGTTGGAAAAAAAGTATGCAGATTCCGGCAGGAAGAATAAAGAAATTCCACAATGGATAGAAGATGATCATTTGGCGGGATCTTCGGATTCCATTAGGACCGAATATGAAGAAATGGTAATTCAATTTGGATTTCTTGCGTTATTTGGGGTTGCTTTTCCATTATCACCATTGTTTGCTTGGATTAATAATGCTACAGAAATAAGATCTGACGGCCTCAAAGTAAGTAAATAAAGAATATTTTTACATGTCTTTATTAAACGTATAACTTATTCTAAAAAACTCTTCGATAGTATATTAAAACGTTACAAAGACCAGTCGGGTATCAAGCACAAGACTTAGGAATGTGGGAAAAAATTATGAACATAGTATCATTCATAGCAGTATTAACAAATGCAGTAATTATAGCTTTTCATTCAAGATGGATGGAAAATCAATTTAAAAAATATACAGGTGATGATGAAAATAGATTGTTAGTTGCTAGACTCGTATTTGTACTTGCCTTTGAGGTAAATTATATAAAATATTATTTTTTGTATCTTTTAAATTATTTATTTTACTAATTATTTATTTTATTTAACAAAAAGCATCTTGTGTTTATTATTAAATTAATGTTTGCGTATATGATACCGGATGTACCAAATAAAGTTAGAATTGCAATAGAGAGAGAACGTTATCTTTCTAGATTAGTGTTAGAAGGTGAATCACCCGTATTGGATGAATATTGGAGTGATAAAAAAGATGATTCTTCTTTATTTTCTGAAAAAGGTTCTTTATTATTACCTCATAGATTTACTAAAAAATTTAAGTCACAATAATTTTTTTTTTTTCCTTTATAATATATTTATTAATATAACATTTTTTTTATTTTAAATTTGTAATAACTATTAATTAATATTAATTAATGTAACTTTTTAATGTAACTTTTTAATGTAACTTTTTTAGTAACCTTAGTAAAAATAAAAAAAAATTAACGCATTAGTCTCATAGTATTTCCGCAAATTACACGTGATTTTGATCTTTAAAAATCAGACATATGTAAGAGATTTCCGCAAATTATAAACATTTAACCCGGGACTGTTTTATAGTTTAAAAAAAAAAAATTTATTAAAAGCAAATAAATTAAGTAAAACAAAACCAATATATATGTGTGAATAATATATGCAAAAAAAGTGTTGAATAGTTGAAATTGTTCATTTATGGATTATTCGTAGAATAGTATAAAAATCGGGAGTTATTCACCCCTGTTTCCCCTATTTTAGTTCCCTCCTTTTACCCCTATTCACTTTTTAACTACTTGAAATACTTCATATTCTAATACCCAAAATTTAGATAAAGTAGTAACTCTCTCTTGATAATCATCTTTATCGGAAGAACAACTATCATAAGCATTAAAATTTTGTTTCATCCATAAATCTTTGTCACCAAAACAAGGGCCATGAGATTTATCTTTTACACGTATAGCATAACCAGGTCTACTTACTCTTGATAATTTAGCGTCCGCGATATTACCTTGTTTAGGAAAACTAAATAGAAAACTATTTTGAGTTGTAATACGAGAATCCCCAGTCGTCCATTCAATAGGATTATAACCACCAACTAATTCACCCGAATAAGCTATTTGCATTACAACAATAGTTGGACCTTTATGATCACATTTTTCATGAAAAATTTCGGATTCAAACCCATCTTTACTACCTCTAACTAATAATTTAAATTTATATGGAATATCTTCAAATTTATAAGGTTTACCATCTTTTCTATCTATCCAATCACACAATCTTGCTACATGTTCTTGTTTTATTAATGTTGAATCAAATGGAATCAATCTTGGTTTATGCAATGGACTAATAGGTCTACTACTTGGTTTAAAATGAAATTTAATTATATCTTCTCTTAAATCTTTTGGTAAAATTGAATTATAAGGCCAAACTTTATCATAAAAATCAGTTGAAGAAATTTCAAAAAATCTTATTAAAGGTATGCAATTTTTTAGAATTCTTTGTAATTCTTTAAAATCCTTTTTCTCCCATTTAGAAACATTTACAGCTGGAACAAGAGAACAATCATCATATTCACCAGATGATGAAAAATTCATTTGAGCAATACCCCATTGAATTAAATGATCCCAAATTTCAATTTCTTCGGTTTGTAAATCATCTCTAGATAATAATGGTAATAATAATGATTCCTCAAATGTTGAAAAATCTTCAGATTTGAACACCAATAAAGGATTTTTACAAATCGTTTCTAAACAAAAATCTTGTAACCTTTTACATCCTTCACGTGGGTTTATCGTACGATGCACTCTAACTACATTCTTTTTCATCCACTCTGATTTGTTATGTAATAAATAATCTTGTACATGATTAAATAATTCTTGCAATAATAACTCGTCTGATGCAATAAGTAATTCGAGAATATGTGACGGATCTTGATTATTTAAATCTATAGTTCCAGAATATATATACCTTAATTTTTCAAAAGAGAAAAGCATCGTAAAATTTAATTTCATTTCGGTGTTGATTTAAAACGTTTTACATCCTTAAACATAACAACTTACTTGAGAATTATTTCGAAAACAGCTGGAGAAACATTTGGTTTTGTAAATACCGTAGAACCATCTTCTTTTCTAGCCCAATCATTTGATAACGCTCTTTTAAAGTATGGTGATCTTGCTCTAAGAATTACTGAATGGGCTTGAAACGTTTTTTCATTTTTTTCATCGCCGACTCTAATAATAACATTATAATCGTCTGAATGATCAAGTAATACGCTAAAATCTTTTGAAAGACTAGTAAAAAATTCTGACATTATGCTACTTTACGAAAGGAGAGGGGAAATGATAACCGCAAAAAAAAAAAAAAAAAAAATTAAATTCACAAAGTAAAAAATTAAATTTTATGTTGAAAAAGTTGTGTTAAGGAAAGAAATTTATTCTTTAATAAATAAGTGGATGGAATGATATTTATAGAATAAAATTGAGATCGGCTTGAATGATTAGCTGCATCATTTACAACATACTTTCCGAATATCGGAATCAAGACATTGTTTACCTTTTTTTGCATAAAAATATATTATATACTTTATATTACATCAATAGTGCTTTAAAGTGATATATAAGTAAAAATGATAGCCAACTTTTTTTTTCACATTGTATTCACACTATAAAGACTAGCATCAATTTTTGAAACGACAAGTTTCATCATTTTTAATAACCACAAATTATATTGTTAATCAATAATATTTTAGTAGCTGAGTTAGATATTTTGTAATAACAAAATATTTGTAATCTCTAAGCAATGTACCGCAAGTGCATTTGGCATATCTTTTACTAAATATAGCGTACTGAACTTTTTCTTTTTTTATTGGTTTAAATTATAAGCACAATAAATAATAATAAAAAAATGTTATGTGCAGTGTTACGTAAATCAGTAAAAGAATAAGGATAATTGGATGATTAATAAATAATATAATAATCATATGTGGGCGGAATTTAAACCTTTCCTGAAACTAATTTAGATTCTTTTTAAGTTTAGCTGCTTCTTTAATCGTTAGTAAAGGACCAGCCGCAGATGCCCGAAAGTAAAAAATGCGTGTAGAATTCACCCGAGATTTTCGAACGTTATTATTTCGAGTTTTGCTTGATTTACAGTAAAAAAGATTACCTAAAAATTCTATAAAGAAAGTTTCTGACCTTAATTCAGAAGAGTGGAACGGATTTACGGGGCTTATTAATTATCAGTTTCCGTATGAATCATACAAATTATAAATTAAGGCTTAATGTTTAGAAAAGGCTTTGTTTTATTTATTTCATTCATATGACGCTAATTGTTTATTTATGCATCTCATGATAAGTAATTACTACGGCATTGTATAATAATTATAGATTATCTAATACCAAGTTCTTTCATTCTGATTATATTAATGAAAATTTAAATGAAAATCCCGAATATGAATAATAATAAATTTTCCTTGAAAATCACGTGATAAGATCTTTTTAAGAAAGATTGAATGCTATAATTTTAAATATTACACATCCTCATTAACGTGAGCAAGAATAAGTAAAAAGGTAAAACAGAATTAGTAAAATTGTAAATCTACTAACATTTTATTAACTTTTAATTAATTTCAATTATAACTTCTATTGGTTTAATTACAAATTAAAGCAGTTAAAACCTAGAAATATTATTCTGTAATTTGCTATAATTATAAAAAAGAATTTCAAAATCTTAAATAATCTATTAATAATTCAGAATTTGCAGATCATATATATCCCTTAAACTGTTTTGCAGCCAAATTTGCCTGCAATTTTGTTTTTTAATTAAAGACACTTAAATATCTTAAAATATTTTATTATATAAACCAATATTTTTGTAATAAATTTTATAGTATTTTCTAAGTAAAAATCGAAAAAAAAGTTCAATTTGATTAATGATTTTTATCCATTAAACCTAGAAATATAAAATTACCACCATTTGATGCGTCTTAATGAGAAGAATCTGATAGAAATAAAATTGTCCTTCTACAAATATTATGTAACAGGATAACTTATAAAATCTAAAAATTTATAAATTAATATAACTTTTTATCTATCAATTTTAGAGTTATGATTTTATTACCATTAAATGCGCCTAAATAAGAGGAATCTAACAAATATAATTTCATCTTTCTATGATCACTAGATCTTAAGATATTTTAAAAATTCAAAAATTTTTAAAATTTATTTTAACCCCTACAGTTTAAGGAATAGATCCAATTAATTTTTTATACAGTATTATTGTTAAATTATATTCAAAGAGAATGGTAATTTTATTTAAAAAAAGAAGTTACATGAATTTACAACTTATTTATAAATAAGATATATTCTATTAGTGATTCTAAGTCAAACTGAAAAATTTAGTCATTTAACTAAACTGAAATAGTTTAGATATTTAAAATTAAAAGATAAAATACTAAAATTTAATATTTCATAGTATTTTCATAGATTTTTTATAGATTTTCATGGATTTTAATTATAATAATTACCTATAAAATTATTATATAGTATAAGATTAATTTTAATCTAATGTGATTTAATCTGGATAATTTAACCATTAGTAAATTTATATAATTATATAATTTTACCCAAATTTTTAAAAAAAATGTAAATTATGATTACAATAAAAAATAAAGAAATTTCAAAGTTTATATGAGATATTTGAATATAGGTCATATGAAATATAATGACACCAATGTCACACCCTTTTGCTTTTTCTATGTAATATATGTATTTTTGACTGCTTTGCAAGTTTACTTAAGGCATCAAAGGGGTTTTAAATGCTGTTTTTGACTTACATATGAAAAACTGTCTTTGCTGATCATTTCCTAAATTTTTTTAAGAGCGATTAGCAAAATCAATTATTCATAGGTAAAGTCAAAACTGACATTCAAAAGCACCTTTAATGCTTTAGGTAAACTTGTAAAGCAGGCAAAAATCCATTTATCTACTAATTTTGAAGTTTATATTATTAGTCAAAATGGCAATAATCACATGATCCGGGTTCAAACATTCCGTATACAAATAGAAATTGCTAAAAATAAAAGACATGTAAAAAAATTTGGTCATTATACTCTATAATATTCAAATAAATAAAATCTATATAAAGTAAAATAGATAATAATACAAATAATTTTTTTTTTAAAAAAAAAATATTAATGTAAAATATAAATTTTAAGGAAGTAATTTAACCTAGATTATTTAATTTAGGAAGCAAGTTAGTAAAATTCTTTTTTTTTTGCAATGCATATAATAATTTATTAAATATAAAAAAAGTCTAATTACAAAAGTAAAGAAAAACTTATTGTTTATTTAACATTATTAATTACTATATTTACATATACACTGTCAAACTGTTGGGTAACAACTGAATTGAAATTCAGTGAAATGATCTTAACTTGATAAGCCTTATTTTCATTGTTCATAAAAATTGTAGAACCTGTTATGCTCTAATATAGAAATGAGGGTTAATTAACTATAATTAATTAATAGTTAATTTGATTAATTATATTTAACTAAAATTGGTTAATTAATAATTAATTTAGTTAATTATAAATTAACTAATCAAAAAAGAAATTTAAATTATATGATTAATTTAAACTAATAAATTAATATATTTTAACTAAAATTATAAAATTAATCAATAGTTAAATAACAGTTAATTAACCAAATTATAATTAACTATTAATTTATCTAATATCATAAATTTTTTGTTTCTGTAAAATAAAGTCTATCTAATCGCTTTTTTATCTATTTCATCAATATACTACTTTAAATAAAAGTTTGCATACAAATTGTTAGATCTAATAACCATTGACATAGATAATATAATAGACAAAAAGCTAAACTAATAAGTTGCACGAATTTTTCTACTTTCATATTAGATTATTTAGAAGTCTTAATATTATTGCAAAAGATTAAATATATAAATGGCAATGTAATTCTTATAGGATACCTTAATACAGTATTAAAAAAAGTACTGAAAAGTTTTAAAGTAACCTAAACACATAACTTAAAATAAAATTACAAATCTAAAATATAAAAATATAAAAAAAAAAATATAAATATAAAAGAAAATAAAATAGAAAATTTTATATATAAATGAAATAAAAATTATAGAAAAAATAAAAGAAAAATATTTATAAATAAAATTAATGAAAAAAAAACAGTCCTATCTACATAAGTATTTTGTCATAAATTTATTATAATCTTTTTTCTTGATATAAAAAAATATCCAAGTATAAGATTTATCGCCATTTTCAAAATGGTATATGCAGCTCGATCATGCATGAAATTCGAATACTGATTATGATTATTAGTCATATGATCAAAATAAATAAAATTGGCTAATCAAATATTTTAACGGTCATGTGAGTATGTGACAATAAGTGAAAAAAATCATTGCTTCGCGAAAAAATTAATTTTTATTTAAAATTTTATTTGTTTTATAATTTCAATCTCTCCTTTATACAATTACAAATTAAATCCTTATAAGGCTTCAATTTTACAATATAAAAATTCCAAATTTTCATATAGAATTTCTGTAAAGATAAAGAGAAAATAAATACAAAGTCAATATCATTATTATAAAAATGTTTAGAATTTTTTAAAATAACCATTTAAACTTGATAAAACTTTAGTCTAAGCAACACCATACCTGTTAAATAACTTATTTAATTTTTTAACTTAGCTTTTAACTTGTTTTGAAGCATAAAATATCTATTGTTATAAAATTGTAAAAATAAGCATACACAGTTAGATAGTTTCGCTAAAATTCAATAAATCTAAATTCTAAACATTCCAATATTTACAGAAAAACTTTATATAGCCTTTTAAAACCTTTTAATTAACCAAAAATACTAAATTATTTTATAATAATGCAATATAATGTAATAGGCAAAAAATTTAAAATTACTTACAAAATTTATTAACACTATTAATGTAATTGATTATAATTATTATAAAAAGAGAGAAAATGGTATCTGTGAATAGAAAAAAAATGTAAGAACGTTAAAGTTTTAGAGAAAATCATTAGTTATTGATGGTAAACTCAATAATTGCCAATAATCTCAAACTTTGGACGAAAGAAACTCAAAACTGTATATAATAAATTGACTTATAACTCAAGGAAAAGCTGTAAATAAACCTATTAACACAAGTTCTGGCAGGGAATCTTAGGTAATAGTTAGAAAAGAATGCGAAACATATATTGAGTTTAAAATATTCAGTGAAAATCTGGAAATTTTTTTTAATCAGATGATCAATATTGCACACATCATTTTGAAAACGGCGATAATTATTAAATTGAAGATTATTTAAAAAATTACTAAAGATTATTTTTATAAATTCAATTAAATGATATTAATCCTATAAAAAAAATTCTTTAAAATATATTTAAAATGTACTTATATATTTTAAGTACATTTTAAAGAATTTTTTTTTTTTATAGGGTAAGCTAGTTGTTAAATTTTATATACCAGTAGAAAATTAAAAATAATTTGCTATACTGTTATTATTTTCAAAATAGAAGTTATTTTCATTTATTATTGTATCATCAGAAAATTACAGAAAATATTTAAAAATACCTGACAGCTGATTTTTAATTTAACTAATTTTTGATTGGCTAAACTTAAAATTTTATTGCAAAAAATATTTTAAAAAAATTTTTTTTGTAAATAGGTCATATAAATAAAATAGTTCATTTTTTATGAATATAAATAATAAAAAGTAATCTGGTTGTCCAGAAAAATAATTTATTTTAAAAAAAAATTAGATGATTTCTGAAATATGATTGGTTAAAAAAACATAAATTTTTTTCCTACCTAATAATTTGAAAAAAAATTTATTATCTTTAATAATTTTTTTCCTATCTGGTGATCTGCATGAAAAATTTAAAATATAAATTAAATAATAAAAAAAAAACATTTATTTTAAAATTTTTTGGATCCAGCTGGTATCATATGACTAAAAAAATAAAAAAAGTGTATTTTTTATTAATGTTTTAGGCGAAACTGTTTTGCGATTAATGTTTTGGATGAAACTGTTTTGTGATTAGTGAAACGTTTTGCCCATTTTAAGTTTCAGTTTCAGCTATTCTGAAACTGCCAAAACCTGGCAAAATGTCCAAAATTTGATGAAACTTCTGAAATTTAACAAAACTAAAATTGTCATGTACATATCTTTTTAATTGGTTGTTAAATAAGTTTCATGTCCAAAATTCAGTTGTAGATTACATGTTTATATTAACATTGAATTTTAAATTTTCAAAATCGCAAATCTAAATTCTTTTTATTATTCATGTTTTCATATTTATTTATTTTATTTGCTTTAATTGAAATATTAAATAAATTATATATATATACATATCCGCCAATTCATGAAATTAGCCAAATTAAGATTTTCATAAAGATTTGCACATTTTAACAAGAATTATGTTTCACAAGCTTAAATTATATGTGTTACATAATCAGATGATCTAAATCTATTAAAAAATAAAAAAAAAATTTTTAACATTTATTCAAAAATAACAATGGCAACTACTTTCTTTTTCAATCACTTTTTAATCATTTTTCAATCAGATTTTTGTTAGGTGACTTAGAAAAGTTTATAGGCATATATAGCAAGTTTTTTTTAATCAGTAAGTAAGAAAACAAATATTAATAATTTATATTAATAAGAAAAATCTTTTTTCATTTATTTTTAACCTTAGTTCCTTCTTTTTTTTAGTAAAAATATATACAAAATAAAATGTGAGTTATGATTTAGAGTTTTCTCTTATACACATCTAGATGTGTATAAGAGACAGTCCTTAAACATAACAACTTACTTGAGAATTATTTCGAAAACAGCTGGAGAAACATTTGGTTTTGTAAATACCGTAGAACCATCTTCTTTTCTAGCCCAATCATTTGATAACGCTCTTTTAAAGTATGGTGATCTTGCTCTAAGAATTACTGAATGGGCTTGAAACGTTTTTTCATTTTTTTCATCGCCGACTCTAATAATAACATTATAATCGTCTGAATGATCAAGTAATACGCTAAAATCTTTTGAAAGACTAGTAAAAAATTCTGACATTATGCTACTTTACGAAAGGAGAGGGGAAATGATAACCGCAAAAAAAAAAAAAAAAAAAA